TTAATAAGTTAGATAATAAAATAAACTTTATGCAATTTATCAAGTAGCATTAAATATTTTACACTTATAACTCCGAGTTGAACATATTTGAAAGAAGATAAGTGACATTTACGTTTTACTAGCTTTATGCTGATTTTTTTTTTTTTTTTTTGTCTCCTTTTGTCACATACTTGCGGTCAGTCTAGAGGTTTAGTAAACAGCATGTAGATTTTATGTCAAGCGGCATAGGTTAAAATGAGAAGTAAGATCATAATCAGTATGATTCGTAACAAAAGACTGAATGTTGTCACCACTGCTGCTTGTCTAGATATAGACCTGATGATTAGAACAAACCTGAAAGGCCTGATGTAGACACGGTTGGCCAAGTGGTGAAAAGTTAGTTATGCTCTGTTTGATGCAGTTAGTGTCGTAGCTTCCTGTAGAATTCCAGGGGTTGTAACCTAGTTAATACACTTTAAAGTTCCAATAAGCCATTAAGGCACCAGAGGTGATAAGTTTTTTTTTTTGGTATTCACTTTTTTTGGTATTCAAGTCTCACTAGATGAAAAGTAAGATTTACTTGAATTTTTACGTTTTTGTGTTTTATCTTGTGACCACAGTGACTATTAATGAAAGACAATAGCTCACTCTAATACACTCAAGAGCCAAAACATTATGACCACCTGTCAATAACGAGTTGGGCCATCTTTTGCGTGCAACATAGCTTCAACACGCCTTGGCATGGATGCCACAAGTCCTTGATAGATGGCCGGAGACAGATTGTACCAGATGTTGTAGCAACGACCAGGTAAATCCGAGATATTGCGAATTGGTGGTCTTTGACCTCCGAGCTGCCGTCCCATGACATCCCAAATGTGTTCTATGGGATTGAGATCCGGTGAGTTAGGTGGCAAGGACATTAACTTGAAATCAGCATCATGTTCCTGGAACCACTCCAACACAATTGTAGCCTTGTGACTTGAAAAGTTTTGAAAGTTGGTTGGGCGTTGTCCTGTTGGAACATTCCATTTCCGGCTGGAAAAACAGAGGCCATGTAAGGATGCAACTGGTCCCCAATGATGTTCAGATATGGTCTGCTCTACCACAACCACGGGTCCCAGAGCATAATACCACCACCACCGGCCTGTGTATAACCTATTGCGCATTGAGGGAGCAACTGTTCGCCTGGAAGAAGGCGTATCCTGACATGGCCATCGGCATGGTGAATGACAAACCGTGATTCATCTTTCCCACTGATCCATGGACCAGTCGCGATGTTCCCGGGCCCAGCGCAGGCGGCGATGACGCTTGGTCAGCAAAGGCACACGAGTGGAACGTTTGCTGCGTAGCCCTATATCCAAAAATGTCCACTGAACAGTGTGCTCCGATACTTTTCTACATGGCCCTGCATTGTATTCGGCTGTCAGCTGAGCCACTGTCTGGCTCCAGTTTTGCTTCACCATGAGAGACATCCTCCGACAACCGTTTTCTTTGATAGCGTGTGGACTTCCAACATCATGTCGTCTACTGCTGGTTTCACCGTAATTCATCCACTTTTCATATATACTAACAACTGTAGATTGCGAACAACCTACGAGTCGTGCAGTTTCGGAAATACTTGTTCCGAGCCATTACAATCTGCCCTTAGATCAGCAGCCTTTCCATCACACACAGAAGTAAGTGAAAGAATGATTTTTCAGACTCTCCAGCAGCAGTTAAATAACACTTCCACCTGATCACGTGCCTTCCACGTTATCCAGGCACGTTCATCGCAAAATGTAGGGCTGGTCATGTTTTGGCTCTTGAGTGTAGATTACAAGGTTTCGGAGAACAGGGACGCCTAGTGTATAGCATAGATAAAACGGGCGTATATCCCACGCCCTCCTTTATCTAGCGGCAACAACTCCCTGGAGTCCCAAGAGGCTGCTTCGGGAGTTTATCGAGACATGAAAAAAGCTGTACATGGCCAAACAAGGGCGCTCATGTTTTGTTTTACAGATTTGGAGAGACTTTGACTGAACAGATATGGCAAGGAAACAAAAATGTTGCAGAATTAAAACAGGTGGCATGCGGTGCACAGTATGTTGAGTTCTGTGCTAGGAGTTCATAGGGCATAGATTACACAAACATTTGCACATACAGTTGTGTAGTTCATACAGCTAAACAGTTTGCACATGTGTGTAGTCGCAAATAATTCGCTGTTTACATGCATTGTTCATAATTTGTACATAGTTTACAGCTTCAGGTCTCTGTTTACGAACGTGCACAGGAATTTGCAGCTGGCTGCAGTTGTAGTACAGGAGGATGCAGTTTCACAATTTGTGCATTAGTGGAGTGCAGGCATTGTATCTTGTGACAATTTCATGGAACCTAAAATATTTGAAGTCGATACTCTTTGGTTGCTCATGTAGATCGTGTTCTTGTTACTGGAAAGCTGGCAAGGATTTAATGTGGCTGGCACCCATCTTGGCCCATGGAGACTAATGCATTGAAGGTTTTGCAGATTTGTGTTTTTCTTGGCTAAGTGCTGATATGTAGCATCAGTTATTGTTGTGGGATGCTTAATATGAGGAAGGGTCAGTGGGCAGGGAAGATGAAAGCTAGGGTGCTCTTCTAAGCCTCAGATGCCTGTGTTGGAGATATGGTGTCGAAGTAATATAAAAGGAAAGGGACGCTGTCAGTGATATATCTTGTCCTCTCAATGAGTATGGGGTTGCAAAAGACAGGCGTGACACTTTTGAATAAAGATATAGTTACGGCGACCTGTTTCACTGGTTCATTCACGTGCCACTCTCTGAGGACTGCTTATGCAACACATTGGTTTTTAGATAGATGGCGAACTGGATGTTCTCTCATGGAGTCATTAGCTTCTTCAGGATGTCTGCAGCTCATTGCCCCTGTGCACCTGATCATTAGTTGAATGCTGCTATATCTGCTGTCTAAGTTGACTCTGTATGCCTTAATTACTGGTGATGAGTGGCTGGATTCAGGATGATGCTGTTAGAGTCAGATGCAGTCAGCGGCTAAGGTTAAAAGGAGAAATAAGCATATCAACACGATTCTAACAAAGACTGAATGTGTCATTGCTACTGCGTCTTAGAGAGACCCTGCGTAGCAACAAAACCTTAAGGCCTGATGTAGCACAGTTGGCAAGTTTTGAGAGTGTTGGGCTTGTTTGATGTGTTGTGCCGTAGCTTCGTGTAGAGTTCCAGGAGTTGCAACCCAGTTAATATTACTTTAAGGTTTCAAATGCCACTAAGCACTAGAGGTGTAAGTTTTTTGTATGATTTAAGTCTGACTAGATGCAAAGAAAAAAGTTTACTTGAATTTTGTGTTATCTTGTGCCATGGTGAGGATTTATGAAAGGCAATAAAAACTCGCTTTAAATGCAGAGATAATTTTAAGAGTAGCATTAGTTATAAATAGTTGAATTAGGTTATTAGATAACCTTATCATTATGGATTTACATGCCTACTAAATTTTATTTTTTAACAATATTTGTTAAAAATGCCCTATTTAAAATCAAAATCTAATCAAATTTCACAGTTTAAAATACATGTAATTTATGACATTGATTCTTAAACTATTATGATGATTAATTCTTAAAAGCTACAACTTTTTTTTTAACAAGAAAAACTCGAAAATATTATCCGTCATTTTTATTTGAAGCTTCCCAAACATTTTGGCTAGTTATATCGATTTTCCTTCTAAGACTATTTTCTAACAATTAGAGATTTATCTCAATATGCAAACCAATTACTCAAGAACTTCTACAACATGTTTCTTTTCATTTTAGGATTTTTAGATTTAATTAAGGATTTGTATTATTCTAAAAAACATTAAATGCTTTAGAATGTATAAAAAAGTGCTAATTTTTTTCTTAGTAATATGAACTTCTGAGAAATATGAAATATATGGTAAGGCGGTACAGAGATGGGTCTCAAAATTTTTAGAATTTAGAGCAGGCATTGGAAACAATTTAGAAAGGCACTAGGCAGCAGAATTAGGATCCATAGAGATTTGCTCAGGTTGGAAAAAGCCTAGTGTATGATGTTAAGACTATTAGATGAATTCTTTTAAATTGCAAGTTTTTCAATTCTTTATTAATAAAAAATTCCTTTCTATAATGCCTGCCCATGTGATAAGATTAGGAGCATTTTTGATGTTTTCCATGTTGTGGCCAAGTGAAAAGTAGAGAAAATAAAGGAAAGAGCCTCTTAATAAGCTCTTATTTAAAAAGAACATAAAGGCATGTTCTGATGCTAACAAAATGAATTAGAGCTCCGTGACATAATAAACAATATAATTTGCTTTTGCCAAGAGCAGTCATTCAAACTCGAAATGGTGGATAGTGGCGAAAGATTATATAATTTAATTTTAATTTTAATCTGGCTCAGTAACTCTATCATAAACAATTGGGTAATTTACACAATAATAAATGAACATATCTTTGAAGAATAATTTTCTTTATATATTCAGATTCTTTTCACGTTTCCTTTTCATTTTAGAATTTTGGAATTTAATTAAGGATTTCTCTTATTCTAAAAGCACTAAACTGCATTTAGAATATATAGAAAAAGTAGCATTTTCTTTTTTAGTAATATAAATAATATAAAGGCCAGTTACAGAGCTGCTGTGGCAGAATTTTTTAAAATTTAGTGACAGACAGACAATAAAATCTAGAAATGACAAAACTTTTAGAATTTAGAGCAAGCATTGGAAGCAGAATTTAAAAAGGCACTAGGCAGCAGAATTTAGAATCCACACAGATTGCATCAGGTGGGAAAATGCCTAGTGCCAGCTGTGTATGATGCATTAAGACATACTAGATGGAATTTTTAAATTGGAATTAATATTCCAGGGGCTAAGTAAATATGTGCTAAAATTATATCATGACTTGCTGAACACATACTAAAAATACTATGACTAGAATTTATAGTTCTGCCATTAACATTCAAGACTGAATATACAAAAGCAGAACTAATATATATTTCATCAGTTCTGGCAATAAATAAGACAAATTTCTTAAAAAATTTATTTACCTAAAGAGCCATTAAACAATGATAACAACGACTGTTTTACATGAAATACTTCAAAAAGGAAGAAAGAATGAGATTTCCAGAAAAAATATTCTTTAACTTGTTCTATTCAAATAACAAGAATACTTCTCTTTGACAATACAGAAACTAAGAACACTAAAAAAAAAAATGAAAAAAGAAACATGAATGAAGTAAATAATCAGATACAAAAGAAAGTCATAAACGCACATCATGATGGCATTATCTAAACAGAAAAAAATATTAGATGTGTAAACACAGCAATGGAAGTGTCTTTTCAAAAAAATGGATGACATTATATAATGCTCTAAAAAAATATGGTATTTTTTCTTCAGAATACAAACATTAAAAGTCTCATATCACAAATAGAAGAGTGTTTCACTGAGTTCAGCTTTAGGGGACTGATGTAGGGATTGCCCTGTCAGGAATGCCAGTTTATGCGCATACTGGCAAGGTGCTGGTACCCTGATTGTTCCCTGAAATAAAAAAAATTAAAAAAATTAATATATTACTTTTAAAATTTTTAAAACGTTCAATATATAGTGAGACTTTTCCAACACATCGGATTACTAATGAAAAGTATTCAGTAACTGTCTACTGTACAACACAACTTTAAAACTAAAAAAAATTGTCATATTATACAACAAAACTATGGCATGATTTTCTCTTAGAAGCAGACCAAGTTACCCATAACATGCATTTATACAAAAAATAAGATCACAGTTGAAAAATGCACATTATTTGAGGAGTATATGATACATTTAAAACTAAGGAAAACTAGAGGAAAATATAAAAATTAGACTTCTACATGAACCTAAATGCTGTTTACTTAACCTTTTGAAGATGGGATGGCCTTTATAGTGGCCATAGAGTCCTCTGTTTGAAAGGACGGTTTGTTTTGTTGTCCACTTTAGTGCCCATGTCTTTCCCCCCCTTTTTCCAGGCTGAAAGAGTGGGGTGAAATGTCAAATTTGACATCCCTGGGGTTTTAACCATTTATCCCTTTCAAAGGTCTTTGTGTTAAGAATCCGGTTCTTTCCCAATTTTTCTTTTTTAGTTCTTGTAGCTACATAGCTACAGAATTCGCGATAACTGCGTTTGCAAATTGTAAACCAGAGGCTTGCGCTGCTTTAGAATATTGCATATTCGAAAGTTTTTTAGGAATTATCGTGACCTTTTTCTAGCAATATGCGGAAAAGGAAAATAGGTCTGATACATATACACATACATATATCTGTATGTTTATACATGTATGGATAAATCCACATGCAAACTATATGTGCCTGTGTGTGTACATGTACGTAGGTCTGATACATATACACATACATATTCTGTATGTTTATACATGTATGCATAAATCCACATGCAAACTATATGTGCCTGTGTGTGTACATGTACGTGTCTGTATATTTCCATTAAGGGTACGCATGCTTTCCGCTTTATGTGCATATCTGCACTTATGCCATATTATATCAATGCAGACATACATACCACATGGATATGTAAGGTATACATTTCCATAAACAAATATAAATTCCCACGTACTTGTATACATGTAGAAGCACTTTTTCTTACATTCTTATCAGTTCTGTCTGTCTTTATTTCCATATATATCTGTTTATGCTGAAGTGACCTTCACACATGGTAGTTTACTGTGATGGTTCTGTTATTCAAACAAATCACATGAACAAAAATATAAATTTTGTTTCAAAGAAACAACAGTAGTTTTACAATTTCAGTCTGAAACCTGGAAATCGTAAATACACTAAAACTAGTCAATCAGTTTGAAAGGTCATCTCTAGCCATTAGATTCCATATGTTATGTACTGTTATTTTAAAAGGTACCTCCGTATCAGTGTCTCGATTTCACGATCAAATAATTTTGAAGTAAGATTTTCAGAATGGATTAGAGTAGTATTTGTGAAATTCCACTGTCCGTTGAGCTCCGAGAATACAATCAGGATGTAAAAGCTCTGAAATAATGCACAAATCCTTGTTGTTCTAAGACAACACATGTCCCCCCATCGAAATTTCTGAACCTTGACCTTTTGATTGAATACCTTTGTCATTCATTAGACATACATCTCAGCAACTACATTCAAGGACAAAGTCCTGGGGGCATACCTTGGGCACTCAGTTATGAAATAGTTTCGATAGGACAGCGTAATGACTGAGGATAATGAAACCAATGAATAGCTGCCAAATTTTTAATAAAAAAGAAGAAAACAGTTAAATCAACTGTGTCAGTATAGATTTTGCATGACCTGAAAATGAGGATTTTTTGAGTAACTGCAAATAAAGATACTCGCTAATATATCGTAGAATTTAAATTTCCCCATATAAAATATGCCGTCATGGTTGATGTCAAAGCTGCTACAAAAACAGTCTGGAGTTGAAACGAACTGGTTTAAGCATTAGAGGAAATAGAAAAATTCACAGGCGACGACAATTTCAAACAGGAGAGAATTTTGCTGACTGGTACCTGAAATTATCTGGAAACATAATATAGTATTGAGAGGCATGAAAGTGCAAGTTCGCAAAAAAAGCTGAACAACGCACGGACACAATAACTAAATGTGCGCACGCGACCTTAAAAAACATTTTAATAAAATATCAACCTTTTAATATAAAAAGTATTAAACATATACATATAATTAAACTAAAATAATACTTGTACTTAATATTTTGCTATTAATTTTGTCTTCTACTTGTTAAAAAAATCAGTAAATCATCAGGAGATTGTAATGAATTAACCTTCTTTAAGATGCTCTTTTATGTAATTTAATTTAACAGTTGATACATTATTACTGTACACAACATTACAACACACCAATACACATATTTATCTTATATATTACTTCCCATTTTCAGGCAATGACAAGTTTTAGAGATAATATATATATATATATATATAAACGTTACTATAGCTTTCAATTATCTTCACTTTTAGTTTGATAAACAGTACTTTATGTAACACCAGAAAAAGTAGTCATGTGAGATAATGTAGTTACAAACAAAATAACATATAGTTAAAGGAGGAATATAAAAAATAACTATTTTGTCTCAGTCTCACTCGATCCTGATTAAAAAATTTCCATTTCTTGTCCATTCACATGAATTTTTATGATGTTTTTCAGCCACGCAAATCTGAACCTATTTTTTTCTTTACTATCTATATGCCGAGCGTTGTGCTCATGACTCAGATTTAAGATATTTATACTGAAAATCTTACAGCAACAAACAAAAAAGAAATAACATAACGATCTACGCTCCGAATTACAGTATGCCATTTTACACACGCTAAAACTCGCACGTGCTCTGGATAACATCAGTAGGGTATTCGTATGTCCGACAGATGGCCTCAGCACCGATGGCTGAAATTATTGAAGTCAGCTCTCGTTTGACAGTTGCTTGCTCTTCTTTGATTCGATATTCGTACGCATCTAGTTCCGCCTTTCCACACAAGCCCCACCTACTTCGCCTTGATGAGAAACAACGCATTTCACGATCTCTGGCATGATGTAATGTTTTTTACAAAGAGGAAGAGAGAGAGAGCATGTCCTCCATTTACCCACCACCACATGTGCCAGTCGCGATTTCTCAACGGTTCTGCATCAGTCTCAGAAACAGCCCGGGTGACGTTCAAAAAAGTGGAAAACTTTTATGCCTGTATTGAAGACATCAACTAATTATCGTGTAAATTTGTCCCAAAGTTTCTGCAAACACTATGCATAACAAACACTTTTCCCTTCAATTTGAAAAACTCTGCACTAAGAAATTACCTAAATTTTGATACCCGAGTGAATGAGTTTCCTTAGTGAGGCTGGGAATTTAGTTTTAGACAAATGAAATTTACGTTTTGAATTATGGGTTTGCTTACTAAATAATTTGACATTTTTAATGACTTAAATTCATTCTATTATTAATACTTGAAATATATCACTTACTAATTTTCAATAAACAGTATAAAACGATACATGATTAATTTTTTTTTTCAAATTTAAACATTCTAAAAAACAGTTTTTGAGCATCTGTTTTATTATGCACTAATTTTGGAAAAGAACGGAATTTTAATTAGTAGCACTTATGTAGATGGACACTGCAGTACTAACAATCTACAATAAAATAAAATTATTTTTAATTAAACCAGTTATATTCTAATTTGCTGAAAGTTTCCTCCTTAAATAACATGTTATCAAGCAAATTTTGAACAATTATGTAAAATTAAAATTTCATTATGCCTATAGAGCATAATTTTAACAGTTCCACTGAACTTTAATTTTAAATCATTTCTATAGCTTTAATAGATAACATTTAATCATTTTTATAGCTTCCCCTGTATGGAAGAGTTCAAAGATAAAGCTATATTTGATAATATATACCAAAAGAAATTTAAAATTATAAGGACATTTAAGAGTAAAAAAGAGATGAAAACTGGTTAAATTTTAAATTGTCCAAGCAAATAATCAAATAAAAATATTTTTTTGACATAACATTAAGATATGATAGAAATAATTATTGTAAGCACTTAGTAAAGACACATAGTTTTGCAGTGTAATTTAAAATTCAAACCAAAATTTTATAAAAACGAAAGTAACATCCTATAATATATTCCCTTCAACGGAGGTTTACACATTTCCCAGTAGTCTCAATCCGGAATAACTGTAATATGAAATTTTCCCTCAGTGAAGAAAAGCATCTTTAAGTCTGGCCACTAATCCCTACACGTCCCTTCCTTTTATGACATAGATGCATCCCTCTGAGAATCCATTAAACTACACAAACATGGAGTATAAAAATGATACATTTAAAACTAAGGAAAACTTGAGCATATAAAAATTAGATTTCTACATGAACCTAAATGTTGTTTACTTAAAAGACTGGACATATCTTATGAACTTAAAAATTTTCGTTATCGGATAACATGAAAAGTTCGCCCATATTCATCATCATTTATATCTTCAGGCACATCATTGAATTTTATTTCATCTTCACCACTGTTGTTTCTCTAATCCATAAATAATCATTTTCCATTCCATCTAGATTGTTACAATACACAAAACTTTAATTAGTGCCATGTCAAGATTAATTTTATTTCATGGTTTTATTAACTATGCACACACTGTCGTTTCTAGGCTTGCATGACACATTTGGCCTCCTTTCATAAATGTTTTTTTCATCTTTCTAACATCCACGTAATAACTGTTGTTTTTAATTTTCTTTGAATGGTTTAAACATGTATCTAAATGCTACTAATGGTGTTAATCTGTCTGAAATAACTGACATCGTCTGTGCCATATCTCTTTCAACAGTTTTTTCCTATTGTCCATTAGATGGGATCTGAATATGTCCTAGACTAATAGACTTTACAGATTCATTAAGGGAACACGACACTTTTGCCAAACATTTCTTAACCACAATTTCACCCATTTTTCTTTCATTCACCTTTTCTCGTGAACATTGCACATAATCAGAA